TCTCACTCACTCGCTCTCTCTCACACACACACTCACTCTCACACACACACACACTCTCACACACACACTCACTCTCTAACACACACACACTCTCATTCACTCACACACACACACACTCATTCACTCTCTCTCACACACTCCCTCTCATTCACTCACTCTCTCACACTCCCTCTCACACTCTCTCTCATTCACTCACTCTCTCTCTCACACACTCCCTCTCATTCACTCACTCTCAAACACACACACACACACACTCACTCTCTGACACACATACTCTCTCACACACTCCCTCATTCACTCACTCTCAAACACACACACACACTCTCTCTCACACACTCAGTCTCTCACACACACACTCTCTCTCACACACTCAGTCTCTCTCACACACACACACACACTCACTCACTCACTCACTCACTCACTCACTCTCACACACTCACATTCATTCACTCTCTCACTCACTCACTCATTCACTCTCACACTCACTCTCTCACTCACTCACTCATTCACTCTCACACTCACTCTCTCACTCACTCACTCATTCACTCTCACACTCACTCTCTCACTCACTCACTCATTCACTCTCACACTCACTCTCTCACTCACTCACTCATTCACTCTCACACTCACTCTCTCACTCACTCACTCATTCACTCTCACACTCACTCTCTCACTCACTCACTCATTCACTCTCACACTCACTCTCTCACTCACTCACTCATTCACTCTCACACTCACTCTCTCACTCACTCACTCATTCACTCTCACACTCACTCTCTCACTCACTCACTCATTCACTCTCACACTCACTCTCTCACTCACTCACTCATTCACTCTCACACTCACTCTCTCACTCACTCACTCATTCACTCTCACACTCACTCTCTCACTCACTCACTCATTCACTCTCACACTCACTCTCTCACTCACTCACTCATTCACTCTCACACTCACTCTCTCACTCACTCACTCATTCACTCTCACACTCACTCTCTCACTCACTCACTCATTCACTCTCACACTCACTCTCTCACTCACTCACTCATTCACTCTCACACTCACTCTCTCACTCACTCACTCATTCACTCTCACACTCACTCTCTCACTCACTCACTCATTCACTCTCACACTCACTCTCTCACTCACTCACTCATTCACTCTCACACTCACTCTCTCACTCACTCACTCATTCACTCTCACACTCACTCTCTCACTCACTCACTCATTCACTCTCACACTCACTCTCTCACTCACTCACTCATTCACTCTCACACTCACTCTCTCACTCACTCACTCATTCACTCTCACACTCACTCTCTCACTCACTCACTCATTCACTCTCACACTCACTCTCTCACTCACTCACTCATTCACTCTCACACTCACTCTCTCACTCACTCACTCATTCACTCTCACACTCACTCTCTCACTCACTCACTCATTCACTCTCACACTCACTCTCTCACTCACTCACTCATTCACTCTCACACTCACTCTCTCACTCACTCACTCATTCACTCTCACACTCACTCTCTCACTCACTCACTCATTCACTCTCACACTCCCTCTCTCATTCACTCACTCTCACACACTCACATTCATTCACTCTCACACACTAACATTCACTCTCACACACTAACATTCACTCTCACACTCACATTCATTCACTCTCTCACACACTCATTCACTCTCACACTCACTCTCTCATTGACTCTCACACACACATACTCATTCACTCACTCTCTCACACACGCACTCACTCTCACGCACACACACACTCATTCACTCACTCTCTCACATTCACTCACACACACTCATTCTCTCACATGCACACACTCACACACACACTCATTCACTCACTCTCATTCACTCTCACACATTCATTCACTCTCACACTCACATTCATTCACTCTCACTCCCATTCACTCTCACACTCACTCTCTCATTCACTCACTCTCTCACACACTCACATTCATTCACTCTCACTCCCATTCACTCTCACACTCACTCTCTCATTCACTCACTCTCTCACACACTCACATTCATTCACTCTCACTCCCATTCACTCTCACACTCACTCTCTCTTTCACTCACTCTCTCACACACTCACATTCACTCACTCTCTCACACACTCATTCACTCTCACACTCACATTCATTCACTCTCACTCACTCTCACACACTCTCATTCACTCACTCTCTCACAC